TTATCCGGTTATTCACTAACTCGCCCAAAAACACCCTAGACGGTGTTTAATGAGGTGAACCAAAAGTACCCCAGACGGTGTTAGGCCGGATAGGGTCCCTTACAAACATTTGTAAAAGCTAGCTAGATTATTGTACAGCTCTCTATGATACCCCAGGCGGTATTTAGTAAGCTTGGTCAGAAGTACCCCAGACGGTATAAGACCGGATGGGGGGTAATGACTTATTTTTGTAAAGGCTAGCTGGATTATGGTAAAGCTCTCTATGATACCCCAGACGGTATTTAGTGAGTTAGATCAGAAGTACCCCAGACGATACAAGACCAGATGGGGGGTTATGACTTGCATTTTTGTAAAACTTAGCTAGATAAATTGTAAAAATCACTGAATAATACCCCAGACGGTATTTAGTGAGCTAAGTTAGAAGTACCCCCAAACGGTATAAAACCGGATGGGGAGGGTTGTGATAAGCTTGGGTAAAAATAGTAAAAAGAAATGTAAGGCTCACTCCATGATACCCCAGACGGTATCACAGAAGTTGGGTCAAAAGTACCCCATCCGGTAAAAATACCTGATGTAGGTGCTGCAAGCAAAATTTAGTCAACCCTACCCCAAACGGTAAACTACCGGATGAGGGTATAGTAAGACCTATTTCAAAAAGGCCTGTTCAAACAATACCCAGACGGTGAGTCACCAGATGGGGGTGCATTGAATGCACCTTAAAATTTGAAAGGTCATGAAAAAGACAAGGATGATGACCCAACCGGCTTTAAAATCGGTTAGGGTTTTTAAAGTCATTTCTTGGTAAAAGCTCAGAAGTACCCCAGGCGGAGTGTCTTTGGATGGGTACTTTTGAATTCCTGGTTATTTAAAGGATAAGTCTATTTGGGAATGGATCAGAGACCCCCCAGGCGGTGTTAAACCGGATGGGGGTGTTGAGAATGCATAGTTCTTAAAGGCTGAAGATCCCTCAGACGGAGCTATGCCGGCTGAGGGAGAGAATTCAGCACTGAAATATGGGTTAAAAACCCCGCAGGCGGCATGCAACCCGGATGGGGTAAAACGTTCAAAGTCCTCAGAAACGGAAGTTAAAAGTAGAATGAAAAGAACAGCCGGTACCTTAGAGATTGGAGAAAGAATACTCAACCGGTCGCCGGATGTGCTTGATTTGAAAATGCCGGATGCAAGGAAGCTTAGGAAATTATGCAGCCGGTATAAGAGCTCTCTCAGAAATTTTTTGAAAAAATTATGCAAAGTGTGGAGGAGAGAGAGAAAGTGTCTCTCATTTATAGAGAAGGAGCAGAAGGCAAAACGATGCCTTCTGCCCTAAAAACATGAAATTTGAAAAAAGAAGGGAAGAAGACGAACCATCTCCTCCCATACGTTTGACACATGTCACAGGTGACACGTGGACATGTCCACGTCACACCTGTGAGGGGCAGATGTTTAGGGTAAATATACCCCTAAGACATGTGGCCCTATAATGGCTTACCACGTGTCAAGATCGCAACGGTCAGCAAAGGCCCAATCCCTTTGCGACACGTGTCATTGTACCCTTATTGAGGTACAACTCTCCCCTACTATAAATAGTAAGGGCAGACCTCAATAATGGGGATCGAATCATTTTCCAACAACCAACCAAACACAAATCCCCTTGCAAACGCTCTCAAATCGAGAAGCATTTATTGTCTTATTTCCTCATTTAGAAAGAGACTAACTTAATCTTCGGAGGCGGAACACCCCAGCCCCAGCCGGAGTATTCCGTTATTTGTGCAGGTACAAGCAAAGAAAGCAGCATACTAGGATATTGTAACTCTCCCGTAGGACACATAAAAAACCCCCAAACAGCATGGATCCTTGACTACCGCTTACTCTTATCTAGAACTTGACTTTTGTCTCCCGATATGGCGACCGAACCATTTGGGAAGGACAAAGGAAACTTTTCGGGGTGTTCATTTTTCGTTTTCCAGGTTTAGTTCTATCCTTTTTCGTTTTGGTTTTACATTTTCCTCCTCGCTAACCTTTTGAGCCTTATACCTACTTTTCTAGCCATATCTCTAGCTCTCTAACCATTTGTTTCATTTTCTTTTCCATCATTGGTTTATGTTAAGCCTATGGTCCTTAGTTTGTTGGTGTTTATAGGAGTTTAAGTATGGATGTTTGGTTCATTTGATGAGCAATTTTGTATTGTATATAGTTTATGAATAAAATCAATTACGACTTTGAAAGAGCCGTCCAAAGTTAAAAGAGGCAAGGACAAAGCAATAAACGAAAAGAGAAAGCCACTGCTTAAAAAAAAACAAAAAAAAAGTAAGAGAAAAAGTTTGAAAAATGAAAATCTTAAAAAGATTTTGATGTAGTTGTTTTTTCCCTTGTTTAACGCATTGAGGAAAATGCTCTTTTCAAGCTTGGGGGAAGCGTGCCTACGCTTTTTTATATAGTTCTGTGATGTTGCGTTCAATAAGCTTGGGGGTGTTGGTATTTTTGTTTGAATTTTGGGTGATACCTTGGTTATGGTACTAAAAATTGGCCATTCTTTGCTTCCTAATTTAGGTATATCACCAAATTTCAAATTTAAGCCTACCTTGACCCTCTTTGCCCTTATGTTATAACCCTCAAAGACCTTTTGACCCTTATGGTTGAGTCACAAGTCGGTGGAGGGAGATAGATTTCAAGCCTATAGAGAGGATTTGCGTAGTTGAGATGTCGAGTAGCCCTAAAGTCTCTTCTTTTCCGATTCCTTCGAGGAATCATTGAGATGCTCACTTGAGGTGGATTTGAAACTAGTAGGGAGAACGCGATAAGATTTTTTGGGATGAAGGTGAATTGTGTTTTGTTAGTTCTCTAAGCTTAGCATATTCTATGTTTTAATCAACCTTAGATATCTTAAAACGTGCATTCCCTTGCTTGTTTAGAAAGTTTTACATCCATTTGTGCTTGATCATTTGGAAAAGTCCATTCATTAGCATTTGTTCTCTTTCTTTTTCTTTTTAATTTCATTTTCATCCTTCGCCTCGTTTTATCTTGAGAGTTATGGGTTAAGCTATTTTGGAAACTCTTACAAGATCATTACTCGTCCTCATTGGCGACCTTGAGGTTTAAATGGCTTTTCACTAGCTAAAAGATGACTGTGATTCCTGCGTTAGTGAGTTAGTGTATATCCCCATCCCCTTTTCTCTCTTTTCTTTATTTGAATAAGCCCTTCATTTTCCTTGTTTGCTTTTGTTTTTCTTGAGGATGAGCAAAAGTTTAGCTTGGGGGAATTTGATGAGTGTCATTTATGGCACTCATAGGGTAGTTTTCTTCATAGTTTTATGCTCGTTTTTAGCCTTTTATGTCATGTTTTTAGGTAATAATGCTTGATTTGCGTGCTTGTGTGTTAGTCTAGAGAAATACATGTTTTTATCGATTTTATTATCCTTTTTATGCATTTCTTTGCTATACTCTAGCTACCGGTTTGGTTTGACTTTTTATAGGTGTGTTGAGATTTTCCGAGGTTCAAATGTCGAGAAGGAAGCCCAACACAAGCTTTGGAAGTCAACAAAACCGAGTCTGGGAAGTTATAGAGCAAGCAAACCAAGTTAGAAGTCAATGCAAGGTTGCTTGGGCAAAAATGCATGCCTAAGCATTAGAGAAGATGGATTTTCTTCTGTGCTGGGCATGCAAAAGGTGCTTGGCCGAGTGGCTCATCACGCCCGAGCAGCCATCCGCACCAAGCAACCCCCCGCGCAAGCAGCAACTTGGGCACATAAGCAGGCTTCTCGGCTAAGCATTACCCAAGCCAAAAGAGGGTATTCTCGGGCATGCTGATTTGCTCGGCCGAGCAGATGCACTTGCCCGAGCAGCCCTGTTTTACGATTTAGCTCGTTTTTCTTCTTTATCTCTTGTAACTATAAATATGTACGGACCTTCTATTTTTGGGTAGACTTCATTTTTAGCATTTTTAGAAAGAGATTAGAGAGGCTAATTAGAAAGAGAAAGTGTAGATTTCAACATTTGATTCTTCAATTCATATCAAGCTAATTCTTCTTTTGATCTTCAAGTTTGTAAGATTTCTTTTTCTTCTTGCTTTCAATCTTTGCATTTAAATTTTGTTGTTGATGAAATTTCAATTTGATTTTTCTTGTTTAAACTTGATTAGCTTAATTGATTAGTTTATTTATACATTTGCAATTATGATGATGATGATGATTAGTTTTGTTTTGTTTCTTCAATTCATAATGACTAGTGAGTAGATTTCTTAGCTACGGTGTTGGGGAAGCATGTATGATTGATAGGTTGTTGCTAATTTGGGAATTTTTATCAATAGATTGTTGTGATTAAATTGATTGGTGGATTTGTGCAAGTGTTTAGTTTGATAGGATTGATCAACCTAGATTGCTAAACTTAAATGCATTGTTGATCTTGATGACATGACCACTTAATTTGAGATTGTCAATTTTCAATTTGTTTGAATTGTGAATCTACTAATTTCTTTTTTTATAGTGGAAAGCTAGCTTGACAATTAGTCTAGATAGCCTTTTGAACTCCTTAATTGCAAATATCATTAGTCCTTGCAACACTCATTGCTTCGATTTACACCTAATTCGGCACCTCTATCTTGATTATTATATGTGGAACCTAAGCCCTAGCATCTTTGTGATTCATTCTTTCTCGATTTCTTGTTTGTTTGACTGGTTTAGTTCACACTTCACTCTTTATCATTGCTTCGAGGTAGCTTGACACGAAACTATAGTAACCTTCCACCCATTCTTCGAGGATCGACTTGGACTTACCCCTATACTAGGTGTAGGTTTGATCATAAATTTAGTTGACATGGGTAAGTTAGTTAACGACCTAGTTTCAACTTTTGAAAAAAATTCAGATAAGATAGTTTGAAGTAGAATCCACAAGGTAATACTTTGAAGCAACAAAAATTAAATTTAAAATAAAAATTAAAATTAAAATAAAAAAATAAAAATAAAATAAAAAAATAAAATAAAATCCTTTTTGCTACATGATTATAGTGAAAAATATTGACCTTATCATATCTTAGTTGCAATATTTTGGCTGTACAAGAGCTCCCTGAGCTTTAAACATGTCCATTGCTTTTCATCATCGGTTTACTAAAAACATGAACTAATCTTATCTATGTGCACCTGTTTGATTTTCGATTCTTTCAAATTTAAGTAAATTGACATGGAATCTCAGAAAGATTCAATCCAGAATTCTACAGACTTCTTTCTTTAACTGCTGTGAATGTCAATGTGGCACTAGTTGAAGCTCCGGATGAAAAGGTTGAATTGTTCATGCTGTCTGAGCTGGAATATAAAGCTTTGTCAACAGACGTAGTTCTGGTATCAGTGTTGTCGTGGGTATTTCGGATTGTAACTTCAGAGAGATCAGAGAGCAATCCTGGTGCTGTTATCTTCATTTCAGCGATGCACTTTTCACCTGTTAGCATTTTCACCACAGTTGACATGGCTGGTCGAAGCTTGGGAGCATCTTGGGTGCAAAGCAGGCCTATCTTGAGGAACCTGCAAGCCTCCTCTACATCATAGTGCCCTTCTAATGATTCATCCACCAGTTCTACAAGCTCTTTCCGCTGATAGTATTCCCATATCTATGACAACAAATGTGATTAATAGAAAGTTTCACAACACAAAGAATTCATAAATGATGTGGCTAGTTAATACGAATTGCCTCCTATATCCAATGTCACTCTACTTCACTTTTCCTTTATATGCCCCATTTAGAAGCTAGTCAATTACACGGAGATGTAGGGATTGATCTTTTTCATTTAGCTTGGTCAACGTCCATATGCCTGTCAATCTGCCAATGCAGAGAAGTGATACAGACAGACTTTTTGGGTGTTATGATCCAAAGTCGAGAGGGAAACAGCCCAGATTGTACGCTAAGGTCTGGTGGTGGGAAATGGGAAAGTCGGACCAATCATTACTAATGGACACATCTCCATTAAAAATACATAGAATCCTTGCCACCCCATTAACCCATGAAATGAAAAGCAGAGGAATTACAAGAGAAGTAAGAGATCTACTTGATTTAATCCACAATGAATTAAGGCTGAAATTGAGCAGTTGTGACTTTCAACATAATTGAGTATGAACACAAAAACATTATCTTCAACCAGATATCACAATATGAGCAACATATACTCCGTATTCATACAACCTTTTTTCGTAGTAATTGTAAACAGAAAAAGATTTTTACTCGTTGAACTTCCATTCCAACAATGCATTGAACAGTTTCAATAATTACCAAGATCCTACTCCTATCTAGTAATGCACGTAACAGTTCATGTTGACATTCTGTAGATCTCAGAATCGAATAACCTATCATAGGCTAGGTTAATTAAGCAGCTTTCGAGAAGATATTAAACAAAGTGACCAAGACACATGAAATTATGAATATTCATTTCCAACATTATTTTCTCACAGCAGTTACATCTACTGTTGACTAAGCTCTTACCCGCTCCAGAAGATATCTGTCTCCATCTGGCAATCTCATGTTCGTGTTACATCTGCCACTTACAATTTCCACCAGGAGAACACCAAAACTATATATATCTGCTTTTCGAGTCAGTTGCCCCCTTACTGCATATTCTGGAGCCAGATAGCCTCTGGAGAAGAAGAAGAAAGAATCACAGAATGTAGAGGAGAGCTAAATAATACACATCTATAAAAGACATTATGGAGTATGTCAACACGGAGTTATTTTTATAAATAAATTGATTTAATAAAATAAATATATAAAACTCTCACTGCATGATAAAAGCACTAATACATGAAAAGATGACAGTTGATGAATGTGGTGTAGTAAGTTGAATATTAAACATACAGTTTCTTTAGTTGTTTGCTTGAATAAAAGTATAAGAAAATCTTGGGTGAGATCATCTGAAAACTAATTGAGAGAAATTGTTTAAAAATACCTCCCAAAGAAATAAGAACTCACCACTAAAAAAGAAAAAAAAAAAGGTCACCCTGGTCTGCTGATCTCACAAGAACTTCAATCCCATTGCAAAAGAGACTGCTTAAAACTAGAGTCCACAACGTAGAAATCATGAAGAATTGACAAGTTTTGGGAGAGAATTAATATTGATAGGGATTGTTGAGAAAATAGGGTCAATGTCGATGCATGCGCTTCCACCTTTTTTTCTTATAAAGCAACTTAAACAATCTAGGGAAACAAGAGGCAAATGGATAATAACCTAAACAAACTAGGGGTTTATGCCTGATTTGGTGTATATAAATGGAAGATTATGTTCTTGTATTGTTAGAAATTCATTGAAAGGAAAGAGCGCAGGACCAAAAGTGCAGCGGCAATTTCTGATATGGTACTTCACTACGTCCTATATTACTTCAGTATTTATAGAAAATTGAGCACTAAGAACAAAGAATTTAGGAGCACAGAAAAAACACCAGTTCTGGCAGAACAGAGGGCAGGAATATCTTGATCTTTTTACCTAATCAGACCATGCATTTGGCGTAAAATAGGAACATATGATCAATTACAACGTATTAAAAATTGAAAACCTAATTTGCTTCATATTATCCATTCTGAGTTCAAGGAATTTAATGAAGAATAAGATCAAAAAAAGAATAAGTTCTCACTTACAATGTGCCAGCAACCCGTGTACTAACATGACTGGCATTGGGTGGCATAAGCCTCGCAAGACCAAAATCTGAAATTTTGGGAGTGAGGTCTTTGTCCAGCAAGATATTGCTTGCCTTGATGTCTCTATGCACTATATGTGGACGTACTTCTTCGTGAAGAAAAGCAAGCCCACGAGCTATTCCTACGCAGATATTCCAACGTATTCTCCAAGTAAACTTAATGCTACAGTTTCCCCTGCCTATGATTACAAAGCTTAAGTTATTACCCTTGAGATACTTGCACACTTAAAATTAGTAACAGACTAAGAAATTTCCAGAAAATATATGCATTAAATCATTGCAAACACACCCTTTTAGAATCTGTCGTTAGGAAAAGTACCCTATATGAATATGATGAGGTTACTAATTACTAATATGGACAAAATGTGTAAAAGTTACCTAATAGAGTCTGCGCAAGGCTGTTGTTTTCAAGAAAGTTGTAAACGAGTATTCTATGGCTCCCCTCCACACAACAGCCATACAACTTGACCAAGTTTTCATGCTGTATGTCTGAGATCACCTTTATCTCAGTCAAAAACTCACGAACCCCTTGCTGCGATTCAGCCGACAGAACTTTGATGGCAGCAACCTTTCCATGTTTAAGCTTTCCCTGCAAACAGAATATATATTTTACATTGATTTGACTTCAAAGATGTCGATTAAAAATTTCTCTATGCATTCATAAAAATTATTTTGCTGATAATGTGATAGCATAATAGTTGTCACCTTATACACAGACCCAAAACCACCTTCTCCAATTTTGTTGGTTATACAGAAGTCATCAGTAGCAACTTTAAGTTCTTTGTAGCTGTACAGCTTTACATTCTGAACTCCTGCAAATTCTGCCATAAAACAAATCAATCAGAAATCCGAAAACAAGTGCAGTTACTAATCTTGGTAACCATGGATTTCAATATGTTTCGACTCACAGAACATAGACATCCTACATAATAGTATAGTATTTGTAGTATCTCTACTATTTTACGAAACTTCTTTAAAATCAAAGTGGATTTAGAAGCACCTCACGAACTTACGTAAAAAGCATATATTGGAAAAAAAGATACATAATTGTAACAATTACATGCTATGACTATTCTTAAGCGTTTACCTTCATCAGCAGCAGCAGGAGTTCTGACAGCAGACTCGACTCTTTTACCAAACGAGCAAGGGAAACAAGGCATACTATGTAACCACCAAAACACCTGCAAAATAGAATTTTGCTCAAACATTAATTAATACCACAAGCTGGAAAATAATAAATACGGAGTAAATAACAGTACAGATGTATAATCAATATAAAATTTGATTAAAATTCATTGCCAAGTTTAACTAGATTGCTATGCTAAAAAAGCAATAATGACAGTTTTGGAAGATATCAAGATTCAGCGTCAATGATTCATGAAAATAGTAGGTGGTCTTATATGAATATTGTACATAGTTATCACGTTCATATGCCTGCAAATAACTTTTATCAATGTTTAAGCCATGCGTGACACTAGGGTGAGGTGAGTTCTCAAAAAACATCAGTTCCCAGCAGACATTTGCATTAAACTGCGCATAATACCTAGAAGAAAAATCATTCAAACTGCTGCCTTAAACCGTTAAACACACAGAACAGCCAACAAGACACAAGCGTAGACCAAAGTTCCTAAGCTTGAAAAATTAGAACCTGAAGTTTGGTGCACTTAATAAGCAATTCAAATTACTACTTAAGCACACTTAGAAATGAACAAGTCGTATATGAAAACCAGAATCCCTAAAATTGAATCTAAGAACCTTACTTTCTCAACTAATTCAAAAAAACAAATTGGACTAACAAATTCCCTTCTCAATCTTCTACATTGTACACATATTAATCATATTACAAACTACAAAAATTCATCATATAGCAAACTACACAAATCTATACATGTAATTTAGATGAAACTAGATAGGTCAAAATTATTTAAACCCCTCATAATAACAAGTAATTTAGAATTGAATGAGATGGCTCAAAATAATTTTAACCCCTCAAAATTTCTGCAAAACTTGAAAAATCTAGCTTTAAATAATTTAAACCCCTCAAAGTTTCTGCAAAACTTAAAAAATCTAGCTCTAAATAATTTAAACCACTCAAAATTTCTGCAAAACTTGAAAAATTTAGCTCTAAATAATTTAAACCCCTCAAAAATTCAGCAAAACTTGACGAATCTTGCTCTAAATAATTTGAACCCCTCAAATTCTGCACAACTTGAAGAATCTAGCTCTAAATAATACTAAACCCCTCAAATTTCTGCACAACCGAAGAATCTGCATTTTAGTTCACCTTTTTTATTACTAAAACAATCTCAAACAAGATATAGCTTTAACCAGAATTCCCCAGAACTTAAAACTCCTATATGAGTTAAATATCAAACAATCATTTGAAGCAACCAACCCCCCAAAACAAAACTATCACATATAAAAGCAACACAACCCCAAATTTGAAAATACAACCCAATCCAATGTGGCATAAAGCATCAATCCATCATCAACATAACTCATCTCGGGTCGTCAACTAGTTTAGTTAGTTACGTAATACCTAAGATCAAATCTAGTCTATATCATCGCCCTTCTAATCATAACTTTACACTCTAAATACTACACAAACAATATATGAAACCAAAATCATAGAACTTACTTTGAGTGCTTGAATTGAGAATGAAAGCTGTACAATTTCTTTGTACATAAAAAGGGAGAGAGGAGAAGAGTCTGCAAAGTGTTTCCGTACAAATTAAGGTTGTAAAATTGTAAACTAGGGAGTAATTAGTGGACCAAAGAAATTTTAACTTAAAAGGAAATTTTGAAAAAAAACACGGCAAATATGAAAAGAAAATTAAAAAAATGCAAAGTAATAATGGTCAGCGGAATAATGCCTGAAATTCAATGTCTGCTCATCAGAGTAGGAGCAAGTATGGAAGACAAGTGTGATTAATATTTAATGTTTCTTTTCAACAAATTGACCAGGCTGTTGACCAGCTAATAAGGTGTGGATTTGCTTTAAGTTGTTAACCAGAATAATGTGTTTTTTGTCATTCATTGATTCATAAAGTTATTACTCGTAATAAGCTCCTGGGGCCATGGCGGTTAGTTACCATCAGTTTTTTCACGGTTGGTTTTTCCTATTCTTTTGTTTCAGAATATGTGACACAATTAAAATTTGTACACTTGATAATACACCAGTTGACCTTGTTTAACATAAATAAATAATAATGAAAATTATTAAAAAAAAAAAAAAAGTTATATTATGAAACTTTATACCTATTTAACAACATAGTTTATGATAAAATATGTTGTTATTATATTATATTAATACATACCAAAAAAAATAAAAAAAACTATAGTCAAAATTAATAGCAAAAATAAGTGTAGCGTGTATGTTATTCTGGAACGGATGGAGTAATATTTTGATCAGCATATTTATTGATATGTAACCTTAACAATTAGTTTCTTTAATTATTTATTAGTAAAAATTTGTAAGAAAAAAGTCAAATTACGAAAATAAATATCCTAACTAATCCAATAATATATTACATTATACATTTTCATTTTGTCAAAAATCAGGTAATGCACTGTTTAATTAATGCGGAACAAGTCAATGAAAAATAGCAATGAGAGAGACGATAAAAAAAATAACGAAGAAAACACAAGGTTTTATAATGTTGTTTGAAATTAGACTTATGTCCACAAGTAGGGGTTTTGAGAGCTTCTTCATTATAAAGGAGAAAGAACAACGATAATATACAAGAAGTTCTACTCCCTTCTTTTTTTTTTTTTTTTAAGTATATGTAGGTTTAGGAAATTTAATAAACTTAAATCTTTATTATATAAGTGAAGAGGGGGTGGAGGAAAGAATAGTTGGTTTCCATATTATAATTTATCCGAAGCACTCCTCCTTAATTTTATTGTAAAACACGATTTAGGCAATAAAAAATCAATGAAAAATTCACAAAATAATCTCTCCTTTCATGAACCTTCTCATATTAGTCTGACCTTTTGATTAACTTAATTTAATCCCACTTTTAAACAAACTCTTCCTAAATTGGACCCTTTTATAAAATGACTTGCTATAGTATATAGGTTACTCATCTAACATGACATTGACCATTGCACTATCAATGTTTTTAATAACCAACCTCATATTTTCCCAATATTTTCCCATGACTTTTTACAAATAACCCTATAACATATCTTCTTCCTCCATTCTTTCTCAATTTCTCCCTAGTAATCACCCATGGCTACGCGAAATTAATAATCAAGCGGGTTTGTGTCTTTGTCTTCAACCTCAAAACTTTATAGAAAGCCACCTGTTATTTGCTATCACAACAATATGAAGCTTATTTAGCGTAAAAATACACATACTTATCACGTGGACCAATGATATGTTGCCACATGGACCAATTAGGAGCTGACAAGTGTCCTTCAGCGATGCCCAAAAGACCGAATCATGGTACAACATGTGGCAACATAAGTACCAGAAGAATGAATGTGACATTGCTACATGAAAAGCCCAAATCTCAAGTATTGCGCCATAGCGGCGCAAACTTAGGACACATTTTAATCAAGTATTGGGAAGCCAGAGTACGCCTTTATAGGGTACTGTTACACCCAAAAATCAGATTTTTGACTTTTTGTTTGACTTTCTTAACTTTGACCAATTTAAGAGATTTTTAGAGTTAGTAAAAGGTCTTTGGGCTAATTTGATATAAACATAACAACAATTGGGCTGATATCACACAGAGGCCCAATAATATAAAGGCCAGATTAAGAGGCTAATGGATGATTTTAATTTTCAAAGAAGTGTTGGCGCCAAGAAGCATAACCGTACAACAATTATGGGAGTTAGCCATAACCGCTCCATTTTGCCTATAAAAAGAAGTGCAAGGATCGAAAGGAGGACATCATTAAATCAATCAACAACAAGAATTTCAGTTCTTTTAAGCTTTCTTCTTAGCTTTTGTAGTTTCCCTTAGCTTAGTAGCCAAGCGATAATGTAGTTTATCACATAGCATGTATTGAAGATCGTTCGTCTTTTCCAATTGTATAATCATGGAGGTAACCTCTCCTTCAACTTGTACAATTGTAGGCCTGACTCTATCCTTTAATTAATGTAATGCATTTGTATCTTTTGTCATATGTTTATCTACTTGTTTCTTTGAGCAATCTAACTTGTTTTACTTCTTTTGAGTAGGCTTCCTTATTGTTTTGTTTTACGTTAGAAAGGTTATCAATCTTTGAAACCGGTAACTCGAGGGGCAACCCCCTAGCTAATACTTTAGAACAAGATATAGTATTTAACTTGTTGGTAAAGAACAATATTTATCTTAACAGGTACGTAACCCTAAAAGGCACGTATTCCAACCTTTATAATTACCCCCAATCATTTATGATGGAATGGGTTATTAAGACCTGTGCATTCAAGAAAATAAGTTGTTTCCTCTCGTTTCTCTTTACTTTCTCTCTCTAGACTTTTCATTTTCGGCCACTAACTTGATCGTTATAGACGAATATTCCAATACACGGAAATTCGTTGTTTTTTCAAGTCTAGGCGTCAATCGAAGTGTGCCTACTTAATCATGTGTGAATATGCTTGGAAATCATAGGAAGTGGGAATTGACATTGTACAATTAGGGGCAAAGAAAGTTGGGAGCCGCCAACAAGTTTTTAAGGAACTTGTAAACCGTTCACAAATCATTTAAGGCAATCAGGAATAGGAACAACGATAGGCAACAATGATTGACCCATGAAGGTTACACCCCATTCATAATCAATGAGATTACTAACTCCATATAGTTCGGAACCACGAAATGAGGATCGAGGATGATGGTGAAAAGTGAGTTATGGAGTTACATTTGTCCATATTGGCCTCTACTCGATTCTTATTGTGAAAAGTATTTCCTGCGATCTCAAAGGCATACAAATAAAGATTCAATTTGATCTAAACTAAATTAAGCAAAATTGGTTGAATATTAATGCGCCTAATTCTAAATATTAGTGATCACTTTGATTAACAACAAGATTAAAAAGGAACCTAAAGCGGTTGTCCAAATTATCTTATTAGTCGTGATTTTCAATTACATATTCCCTTTAAACATGCAATATGGTGATCAATAATATATATTTTTTTTAAAAAAAAGCAATAATATTGGAAGCAATTTAACCATAATATCGTTAGTCAAATCATCAAAAATATAATAATAAACCTAAACATAATACTAGCAATACAAATTAAATAAGTAATTAAATTAATTAATTACTCAGATTACGCGAGCTCCTTTAAATTGCCACATTATGAATAATCGTTAGTAAATTCAATAAAAATATAAATTGAAAGAATTAAATTAAAAAGTTAGAAAAATTGATTTCACCCTCGGGATTATACCTTCACACCTTAGTCAAAAAAGGTAGAAGTTTTAGATCTTGTTTTGGACTAGGAATTACTTGAATAGAATTAGAAATAAAGCTAAAAACAATAGAAATTGTACGTCGAAACTTTACGTCTAAGCCTTTTGGAAAATGTGGGGATGAAATATAGATGTCGGGATCTCTAAATCACCTCCCCAAAAAACAGAAATAAGGGAGGTATTTATAGGCTTAAAATCGAGTGAAGATAGAACTTCAAAAGAAGATAGATTTTAGAAAACGCATAGCACAGTTTAGCAGTTTTATAGTTTTGTTTTTATCATAACTTTTGATCTAGAAATCGGAATAAGATAAATAAATATCTTTGGAATGCTATGGAAGTCTAATTTCAAATCCAATTAGAATCAGATAAAGATATGGAAGAAATAGTGGGACAATGTCAGTTTTGGATAGAGTTTGGTATTTTATTCATATCTTTTTCGTTATATCTCAGAATTAGGCTTATGATATATCATTAAAAAGATTATTTCAAGGGATATCCATTCATCTAAGATTTGGATAAAAAATCATGAGGCAAGAATATCATAATTGCTCAGTTTTGGGCTGTAATTATGAATGATTCACAATTAGGCTGATTTGCAGGCTATGTTTAAATAAATGTTTGGACTGATTTGTTGACTGATTCACGTAAAAATGTCTCCCCGATTAAAGCTCGATGACGAAACAACCTTCATTTCCTAATTTGGTCCGGTTCGCATAATGGTTCTAAGAATTACTTGAATAGTCCTTTTTTTCTATACCACTTTCATTTCCTAAGCCATTTTAGCCAATTTAATAACCTAAACCCATTTTTAGCCTAATATCCACATAAACCTTAGATCAATCTCCTCTTTTCATAATTACACATTTCAGTTAAACATAGTCCAAACATTTATTTAGCTATTCCACATCAGTCCAAACATTTATTTAACTGAGCAATCCACATTCATAATTAACTGAGCAATCCACATTTATTTAGCTATTCCACATCAGTCCAAACATTTATTTAAACATAGTCCAATCCACATTTCAGCCCAAACCCTTTCTAATCCATTTCATATTATCTAATAATTGAGCCCGATTAATAAATATGTAAACCCTAAACCTAATGAAACCCGGAATAGCTGAAACGGCGTACAATTATCCCGTACTAAATGCTTAAGTAAAATATAAAAATAAATTTGGACGTAATTTAATAAAACACAAATGTCGCGACACGGAAAAAGTTACTGCGACACGGCAAAAGTTGTCGTGACACGACAAATCTCTGCTGTGCCACGGCAAAGCCTGCCGCGTCACGACAATTTTCTAGGGTTTCTCTGTGGCGCATTTCAAATTCTTGGGTGTCGTGCTTCACCCTCATATTTTCTCTATAAATACGATGCTGATTTCATCAGTTTCGGGGCACCAAATCATTCTCTCTTCTCTCTCTTATGCTCTAGCCTAAACACTAGCCTTCCCTATCCTTCAACAATACATCCCTTAAGCACTCTCCGGAGTCCGTACAACACCCAAAGTTCCATACTTAAACCAAGGCGTGAAAGATAGAACCAATTGAGGGTTTGTACCAAATCACACTAGTAGAAAAATATAAAAGG